GAGTGCGTCTGGACCGCTCGGTAGACCGATAGAAACCCGAGTTGGATGGCTAAACACATCCAGACCACGCAGTCCGGACGGTTTGAGGGTGCGCTTTGAAGATACCTTTAACTTTGAATGGTCGGGTCCTACATCAGTGCTTGTAGACTTATCCCCCAGTCCGTGGACGAATACAGTGTCCGGTTTGCGGATTAGAGTTGAAGATGCCCAAACCTCCAAGCTCCCGCGGTCACCGGCGGAGCTATGGCAAGGTCAAATGGTCCATGGCCATTTACATTTTAAAATCTATGCGTGGCACTTCTTAATTAGTGATTTCGCCAACACACAAATCAAGACATCCATCAAAAAGTCTAGGCAACCGGCTTCCCCGAGATCAATGAACTAGAAGACTAGCCACAATGGATAGTAACATAGACTATAAACATGCATATGTTACTGATCTATGTTACTACCTCTATAGTGGGGAGTAAAATATGTGTGATAACATGCAACACTTCATTTATTAGGCTATAGACTCATCTTGCCTTGATATGTGTGATGTTACTCATACTACTAGTAACTACTACCTCCGTCCGGGTTTATTGGTCCCATTGTATTTCGTACCAAATTTTGACCATAGATTAAACTAACAAAATGTTCACGCATGTCACCAAACATTATATTTTTGAAAACTATGTTCAAATACAAATCCAATGAGATAATTTTTCTTGACATGCATGAACATTTTGTTAGTTAAATGTTTAGTCAAAATTTGATACAAACTACAAAAAGGACCTATAAATTAGGACGGAGGTAGTAGCTATGTTACCATTTTTCTCTCTTTCTTCATTTATTGCTTGTCACATCATTGATTTTATCAAGATATGTGTGATGTTATTATCTATGTTATTCTCATTGTGGCAGTTGAAAGAGGTCCACGCAAACCCGACAGTTTCGTTCCCGCTGTCTCCGGTTTTACCGGACACGGATCTCACTCGATTCAGTGCACTATGACCTTGTAGTACTCCTACTACTCTGTTCCGAAACACTCATTGTTCGCACCATGATCATGTTGGTAAATCAGGTCACATACTCAGCCTCCATCATCAAGCAGGAGTGTTGCAGTAAGCTTGTGCCGGCAACCAGCATCAATTTAATTTACTCGGAGCGGCGCAGCCAGAAGGGAGAAAACGGATCGCATGCCAGCTCTGGAAAGGAAGAAGACGAAAAGGAAGAAAAAGTGGCCATGAAAGTTGTAGGCACGCGCGTGGGAGCAGCGGCTGCAACGGTCACTATTTACCTGCCCCCGCCACTCATCAGTGCCGCGCCCACTCGCTACCAGTCACCGGCTCAGCTCGTCTGCATGCAGGACCAGCTAGCACCGTCTCATCTCGACACGCTCCTGCACTAATCCATCGAACTCACTCAGTTTATTACTCCCAAGGAGGAGCGTACTACAAAGAAATATTCGCCGAAGCCAGAGCTTCCACGAGCTTCTACATTTTGTACACGACCCGTAATTGGCTGGTGACTCGGCTGTGGAGTTACTACTCCATCCATTGATGGGGAAGAAGAGGGCGGTGGCCGCGACGACGAGGACGCCGGTCTTCCCGTTCCCTGCAGCTGCCGGCGAGACGGAGCCGCCGCACCACTTCAGCGATTACGGCTTCGACCCCCAGCTCCTCCGCTTCTCCCAGCTGGTCAGTCTCCACTTAATTAGTCAGTCCCACGTCAATTTCTCAGTTTCCCAACCGTTGAAACTCGCTCTGCTCCTTCAATCTCTCAGCCCGACGCGAAGCGTCACCAGCAGCAGCAGCCACCGCCACCGCCGCTGGAGCACGCGCGGTTCAAGCTCCAGAAGCCCATCTCCAAGAAACACCAGCACGCGCAGCACAATGGCAAGCAGCGCCGCCGCGGGTGGTGGAGCTCTGCGGCCTCTGCGGCGCTCCTCTTCTTCAAGCGCCCCTCGTCCAGGTCCAACCCCGCCGCTCGGGCTGTCGGCACAGCCTCGTCGTCCTCCTGCAGTGCTGCTGCTGCGTTCGCCCCCCGGCCACTCTACTTCGCCGATGACGGAGGCGACGACGACTCCACGGGGTGCACGTGCTGGTCACCGGCCGTGCGTTCCGGTCACCTGGCCGCCGCCGAGCTAGGCATTGCCTCGGTCGGAGTTCCGTATGTTAACCTCAGGGACGTCAATCTCCGTGGTGGCGCCGGAGGAACGGGAGGGGCTGCTCCGGCGATGCCTATCTACCTCGTGACGTGAAGTTCTCCCTCCTGTCGATCGACCGCTGGTGACTGTTCCTACTCTTGGGCCACGTGACAGCCTTTGAGAGGTGTATTTCTTGTTCGTTTTTCTAGAACTTGGACCATATGTCAGTCAATATTTTCCCACCAAGGGCTTGTATTAAGACTAGCCACAGTGGGGAGTAATTTAGACTAGTAAAAGCATGTCCACTCGTTCGGCCCCCCAGCTCATTGGCCGGCGTATTTTTGGGCGTCCACCCGGCGATTTTTAAGCCCTGGGGGCGACCAAGGCCCCAGCCATGCCCCACGTGCTGCCCCCCAAGGCCCCAGCAACGCGTCCCATATTCAAATTTGATCGTTCCCGCTCTAAAAAAAGGCCATAATCCGGCGATCATCGCAATAGTTCGGCGATCAAATGAAAGGATAGGCAATAGTTCGGCGCACAAAAAAGGAAGGACGCGCAAGGAATGCATCAATCGTCGAGGTCGCCTTCCGGCGTCGTCATCGGCGTGCACGGGGTGGGAGGAGTCGGCGCGGCTTCTGGACTGGTCGGCGCGGCTTCTGTGCTGCTAGGCATCGCGGAGGCATCATCAGTCGGGCTGGGCGTCGGCGTTGGAGTCGCTGGTATTTGGTTCAGGATGAGGCCGCGCTCCGCCAGGAACCACGCCTTGAGCTTCTCGTCGCCGCTCTGGAGCATGTCAGCGCCGCCCATCAAGAAAGCCAGGTCGTTGTTCCTCTTCTTGGCGTCCTGAGCTTTGAGCTTCGCGGCGACGTTGGTCCGGAGCAAGTCGAGTTTGACGGCGTTGTTCGTCATCAAAGTAGCCCGCCCGTGCCTCAGTTTTCTCTTCTCGTTGGGCGGCCCTGGTCTTGGCGTCGGCGAGGCAATGCTCGATGCACTCTTGCACGCGTGCGGCAGCCAACTCGTGGTGTTTCGCCTTCTTGGCCCCTTTGTTGCCGTCCGGGCGCCCGTCGGCCGCGCCCGGTGTCAGCGCGTCGTACGTCTCCTTGGCCTTGGCGAGGGTGCGCCGAATATCCGCCCACTTCTCGCACTTATCGATCCGCTTGAAGACGTGGAGGTACTTGAACTCTTGGTCCCTGTTGTTGTCGTGGTACATGGCGAACATGCGCAGCAGCTGCATCGAAGAGCGAGCATCAGTCGGCGCGGGTGCGCAAATAGGCGCGCGCACGGCGAGAGGAATAGGGAGAGGGCATCGTGTTGTACCTGATCCTCGACGATGGTGCCGCTCTCCGGGCGAGCCGCGACCTCCTCGATGATCCCATGCCATTTGTTGCACGCCGTTTGGATGAGCCCCCAATGGTTCACCATTGCCTTCGACCACCGCTGCATGTGGACGCCTTTGAAGTAGGGGTCGATAAGCTTGCACTCGTCGAACTCGGCCTTGATGCGGTACCAATACGTGTCGATGTTCTGGTTCGTGCCGGTGATTGGGTCGAGGCAGACGACTTTCCACGCTTCGGCGAGGCACTCATCTTCCTTGGACTCCCACTTGATGTGCGGCTCGCCGGTCTTGGCCGTCCCTTTCTTCTTCTTCTTGCCTTTCCTCGTCTGCGCCGGCTCCTCCTCCTCTTCCTCCTCCTCCTCTGGCTCTTCCTCGTCGTAGTCGAGCTCGCCGTCCATGTCGCCGAGATCAATCGAGCCATCTTGGGTAGTGAACCCGGGGGAAGCGGCGGCGACATCCGAGCCGGCTGCGATGATGTCTTCCATGTCGGCCTTCGTCGCGTCGGCGTCGCCAAGATACGACGAGGAGGCTTGCGAGTAGAGGCTGTGGCGGAGAGCTAGCGTCGAGGAGGTTGCGTAGTCTGCCGGCGACTACGTGCATGGAGAGTACTGCACGACGGCGAACGCGGGCGAGGGCGCGCGCTGGACCGGGCGCCCATGGGGGAAGGTGACGTTGGGGTTGAACCCGCCATGGACGTAGCCGTCGGCGTAGCCCGGGGACGCTGTGCTCCATGGGTGTGGCGACGACAAGAAGACGCTCGGAGATCCGATGCTTTGCTGGCTCCAGGCCGCGTGCGGGCTGTGGCCGCCGGGTGGATTCATCATCCCCCGTGCGAGCCGCCTTGGCTTGTTCGTCCGAGCGCTCCGCCTGCTCCGCCGCCGCCGCGGCCATGAGCGCGGCCCTCTCCCGGGCTTGGCCCTGTTGCGCCTATCAGCGGTGACGGCCTCCCGGCGCTGTACTTCCACCTTTCAGTCAGCATTGGTCATGCCCGGGGGCTTGGACAGCAGCGCCGTCTGCTTCCTCTGCTTCGGCTGGGCGACGACGGCGGCCGTGGTATCCATCATGGCGTGGGGGAACACGTACTTCTTCGGCGGCATGACAGTCGGCTTGGAAGGGAGGAGGCGGAGTTTGGCGGGAGGAATGGATAATGAGAGGGAAGCCGAGGGGTAAGCGGGAGGAAACGGCGGGAAAAGGGCCTCCTCTCGTCGACAGAGCGGCCCCACGCCCCTTTTCGTTACTGCCGGCGCTGCAAGGCGACACCGGGCGCTTGGGTTCGTGTCGGGATCGCTGGCTCTGAATTTGGCCCAAACCAACGCTAAATGAGGTCCTGGGGGCGCGACTGGGCCGATTTTCGGCCACCGGCGCTAAAAATTCGCTTGGGGGAGGGGGGCTGTTGGCGGCGCGGCTAGAGATGCTCTAACATGCATACTATGTTACTAGTCTATGTTATTACCTCTACAATGGGAAGTAACATAGCAACACTTCATTTATTACGCTATAGACTCATCTCGCCTTGATATGTGTGATGTTACTCATACTACTAGTAACTAGCTATGTTATCACATGACCATTTTTCTTCATTAATTACTTGTCACATCATCTATTTTGCCTAAATATGTGTCATGTTATGACCTATGTTACTCCCACTGTGGGTAGTCTAATGTACAGTGGGGCAGTACTAAGGTCTTGCCCCGTCCATCCAGCTAGATGATAACTCACAAGTATAGGGGATCGCAACAGTTTTTGAGGGTAGAGTATTCAACCCAAATTTATTGATCCGACACAAGGGGAGCCAAAGAATATTCTCAAGTATTCGCAGTTGAGTTGTCAATTCAACCACACCTGGATAACTTAGTATCTGCAGCAAAGTATTTAGTAGCAAAGTAGTATGGAAGTAACGGTAACCGAAGCAAAAGTAACAGTAGCAGTTTTGTAGTAATTGTAACAGCAGCAACGGTAAAGTAACTAAGCAAAGAGCAATATGTGAAAAGCTCGTAGGCATTGTATCAGTGATGGATAATTATGTCGGATGTGATTCCTCATGTAATATCTATAACATAGGGTGACACAGAACTAGCTCCAGTTCATCAATGTAATGTAGGCATGTATTCCGAATATAGTCATACGTGCTTATGGAAAAGAACTTGCGTGCCATCTTTTGTCCTACCCTCCCATGGCAGCGGGGTCCTATTGGAAACTAAGGGATATTAAGGCCTCCTTTTAATAGAGTACCGGACCAAAGCATTAACACTTAGTGAATACATGAACTCCTCAAATTACGGTCATCACCGACAATGGTCTTGATTATTGTCACTTCAGGGTTGTCGGGTCATAACACATAATAGGTGACTATAGACTTGCAAGATAGGATCAAGAACTCACATATATTCATGAAAACATAATAGGTTCATATTTGAAATCATGGCACTCGGGCCCTAGTGACAAGCATTAAGCATAGCAACATCAATCTCAGAACATAGTGGATACTAGGGATCAAACCCTAACAAAACTAACTCGATTACATGGTAAATCTCATCCAACCCATCACCGTCCAGCCATCCTACGATGGAAGTACTCACGCACGGCGGTGAGCATCATGAAATTGGTGATGGAGGATGGTTGATGATGACGGCGATGAATCCCCCTCTCCAGAGCCCCGTATGGACTCCAGATCAGCCCTCCTGAGAGAGTTTAGGGCTTGGCGGCGGCTCCGTATCGTAAAACGCGATGAATCCTTCTCCCTAAATTTTTTCTCTGCGAACGTGAATATATGGAGTTGGAGTTGAGGTCGGTGGAGGTCCAGGGGGGCCACGAGGTAGGGAGGCGCACCCTAGGGGAGGGCGCGCCCCCCACCCTCCTGGACAGGGTGTGGGCCCCCTGGTGCTGATTCTTTTGCCAGTATTTTTATTAAATCCAAAAAGTTGGTCCACGGATTTTTAGGTCATTCCGAGAACTTTTATTTCTACACAAAAATAACACCATGGCAGTTCTGCTGAAAATAGCGTTAGTCCGGGTTAGTTCCATTCAAATCATGCAAGTTAGAGTCCAAAAGAAGGGCAAAAGTGTTCGGAAAAGTAGATACGACGGAGATGTATCAACTCCCCCAAGCTTAAACCTTTGCTTGTCCTCAAGCAATTCAGTTGACAAACTGAAAGTGATAAAGAAAAACTTTTACAAACTCTGTTTGCTCTTGTTGTTGCAAATATGTAAAGTCAGCATTCAAGTTTTCAGCAAAGATTATGAACTAACCATATTCACAATAACACTTAGGTCTCATGTTTACTCATATCAATGGCATAATCAACTAGCGAGCAATAATAATAGATCTTGGATGACAATACTTTCTCAAAACAATCATAATATGATATAACAAGATGGTATCTTGCTAGCCCTTTCTGAGACCGCAACACATAAATGCAGAGCACCTCTGAAGATCAAGGACTAACTAAACATTGTAATTCATGGTAAAAGAGATCCAGTCATAGTCATACCCAATATAAATTAATAGTAATGCATGCAAATGACAGATGTGCTCTCCAGCGGGTGCTTTTTAATAAGAGGGTGATGACTCAACATAAAAGTAAATAGATAGGCCCTTCGCAGTGGGAAGCAGGGATTTGTAAAGGTGCTAGAGCTCGGTTTTGAAATAGAGATAAATAATTTTGAGCGGTATACTTTCAATGTCAACATAACAATTGAGAGATCTCGATATCTTCCATGCTACACACATTATAGGCGGTTCCCAAACAGAATGGTAAAGTTTATACTCCCCCACCAC